GATTATTATAGCATATACTATGAAGACTGTGAAGACATAAACTCGTAATGCTCTATCCAGAGGTTTCTCTTCAGAAAGTATTTCTGACACTACAGTTTTTTTCCATTTAATAATAAAAGTTACTATATTACACTTTTTGTGAGATTTACTGGTTCTAGAGTAAGAGCACTTGGCTGCGCCGTGGTTCTGCATATGCATTTGCCGATGATAAAAATCCTACCACCACAGCAGTCTTAATTACTTTTTCAGGCAAGATTCAATATGGCAAACTCACAAAACTCTTCTCTCCTTGGAGAGCACATATAAGCACAAAATTCATCCCAAAGTAATGTGATCACTCACATAACTCTCAGTGTAACAGAATAAACTAGCAAATCCTGTGGAGAACACTTTAAGCTCTTAAGCCCATGTGACTGGTTTTTAACTGTCATGAACGGCTAAAAGAAACACAGTGCACTGAAGAGTATCAACAGAACTACAAATGAACCAAGTTTAGCCCAAAAGGCTAATTTTCATCTGTTGTCCCTGTCCAGATGTTATAAAGTAATGTTTATAGCAAATGTTCCCCATTTTTCAAAATTTCACTAACATGTTCTAACTCCACCTAAATGGAACTGAACTTTTCCTTAAATGGGTCACTGCACTGTGACAGAGACGTATGACTCAAACCCCAGACTCCCCCATTCCAAACTGAATCCAACACCAGTAAACCAAAGGAAGTGCTACTGCGGTGATGCGTTGTGGAATAAGCATCTTACTGCAATGGGATACTGAAAACTGGAAGATATTTTGTCTTTTCCAAATGACACATATACTGAACTATATTCTGATACAAATTCCATGTTTTTTTTCCAGCCTTTGTCAAATGGCATATTAAGTAGGCTACTCAAAGATAATGTAATGCTGGTTTTTTTTTTGTGAATATACAGTGCTGCAGGGTGTGACAGATGTCTATAAACATACATTAACGGCATCTGACATACACTCTTATCCAGAGCAATTTGCATTTTAATTATAAGGTAGGCGAATGTAGCGTTAGGAGTCTTGCCCAAGGACTCTTGTTGGTAAAGCATGGTGTGATTGCCAGGGTGGGGAAATTGAACCGTCACGTGGAGGGCAGTGGTATTATCCAACCAAATTGGGGTTTTGCCACTCTTTCTTCATGTTATTCATTTATGTAATCCTACTGACTCTTAAAAGATGTTTCCTTTGTGTATCTAATCACTTGTCTATCAGTCAATAAAAAAATTATTGAAAAAATTAATTCAACAATTTATTGAAAAAAATACTTCAACAATGTAGCCTATGTCAAACTTATGTGAATGAAATAATGCTATCTCTGTTGATTTTCCACCACAGTGGAAAAAAGTTCCTCTAGAAAGCAGAAAGAGACTGGCTCCTGCAGAGCAGATGAAGGAGGTCTTTCTCCACACCACTGGCTTATTTGCTCCTCAGAGGGAGTGAGAGAGCAGGCCGGAGAGTAAAATGGCGGCTGTGAAGGGCTTAGTTGTAGGACGGTGAAACACTGCTGCCTGCTGGATAACACGCTCACTTCAGGCTCCTCAGCAAAAGATTCCAGCCTCATATTCATACTGTGGAAGGCTACAGTACTGAACCTGTAATATTTTCCATTCAACTTGCCAAAGGCCTAATAAAAATGACTATTACAGTTCTGGGTATGTAATTTCACCCAGGTCCAGTTTCGGGCCTGAAATCTGGCCACTCCGCTCCTCTTTTCTACTCCAAATGGCAAGTTCCACATGAAGGACACTTACAGAGTGATTCATCTGGAATAAGTGGTTGAATGGAATGGAGCAGCTGCCTTTTAACATCAAGACACTTCAAAATTTGCAAAGCAAATTGAGTTAAAGCTGGTATATAAGCAAAGTCCCATTTGACAGGGTAAACATTTCCCCACACACTTCTAATTGCTTAATAAAAAATGCAAATTATCTACGAAACTAAAGATGTGTTTAATGTTCAAACAGTTAACTGAAACTAGATAAAGCCATGAAAAGCTGGTGGTCATGTTTTGGTCACATCCATGCTATAGTTCATGGGTACTCAGTCCTGGTCCTGGTGATCTACCACCCAGGAGAGTTCAGATCCAGCACACTTGGCTCTCATATTCAGATGCTCCTGAAGGCCTTCATTACCTGGATCAGGTGTGTTTGATTTGAGGTAGAACTAAGCTGCGCAGGGCGGTAGATCTCCAGGACCAGGATTGGGCTCCCCTGTATAGTTCATCCTTAGACACTCAGGGTGTAACAATGCATTGTGGCACTGTGATATCACATTACAAAAATCCAACAATTTGCATTGTGGAGAACTGACATTCTAATAATTGATCCATTTAATACAACTGCATTGTTTAAACACCATAGTTTATAAACAATCAGCCTCACCAATCAACCTCACTCCAGCACTCTTCCTGCCTTCTAGCTCAAGAGTGGTTAGTAAGTTTTGCAATATCATCTTAGTCATCATTTTTCTTATTGGAATGTTGCTCAAAATAATGTGAGAGTATCAAATTATGAACTCCGTATCGTAGGCTGAATGTATTTGTACACACTTTGTAGACAGCAACCTCTAAGGATTCAAATGACCTTCTTATTTAGAAAGGTTCAGAATGGTGTCAATATGCAGCTTAGCAGACAATCTGGAGTTTATGCAGTACCGTGGCAGCTTTACAATAAGGATCTGTAATTAATGACAGATTCCTTAAATGTGTCATTGACAGAGTAGGTTCAACACATAACTCAAACCTTTGGCTCTTAGTCCAAATCAAGCCCGAAAACTGATTAACCAAATGTGAGCAGTAGTGGAAAATCATCTTACTGCACTGCAATGCTAGACGCTAAAAGATATTCTGTCAATTTCAAATTATAAGTACTCTAAAATGGCTTTCTAGACTTATTAAAAGGTGATTCACTTGTGTGTTAAAATATATGTAAATGAAATTAGGGTACACATTGCTCAAATATCTTCCTCTAAATAGGTCAAAGTAAATAAAAATGTAAATAAAAACAGAATACAATGATGTGCAAATGATTTAAACCCTATATTTAACTGAAGATGCAAAGTGCAAAGACAACATATCAAATGCTGAAACTGAGAAATGTTGTTGTTTTTGGAAAAATATATGCCAGTTTTGAATTTGATGCCAGCAACGTTTCAAAAAAGGTTGGGACAGGGGCAAAAAAAGACTGGTAAAGTTGTATAATGCTAAAAGAAAAACAAATGGCAGAACATCTTGCAACTATTTAGACTAATTGGCAACAGGTCAGAAGCATGATTGGGTATAAAAAGAGCATCTGAGGCTGAGTCTTTCAGAAGTAAAGATCGGGAAGGGTTCACAATTCAAGAATAACGTTTCTCAACATAAAATAGCAAAGAACTTGGGGATTTCATCATCTACAATACATAATACCATTTAAGGTGTCAGAAAATTCAAAGAAATCTCTGTATGCAAGGGACAGCCATGATCTTCAGGCCCTCAGGCAGCACTGCATAAAAAACAGACATGATTCTACAGTGGAAATCAGGAACACTTCCGAAAAACAACTGTCTGAGAACACAGTTTGTCCCCGTGTCCGCAAATACAAGTTAAAATTCTTCCATGCAAAGAAGAAACCATATATGAACAGGATCCAGAAAGGCTGCCACCTTCTCTGGGCCCAAGCTCATTTAAGATGGACTGAGGCACAGTGGAAAGGTGTCCTGTAGTCTGACGCATCAAAATTTTAAATTCATTTTGGAAATCATGGACACCACATCCTCTGGGCTAAAGAGGAAAGGCCCATCTGGCTTGTTACCAGTGCACAGTTCAAAAGCCAGTATCTGTGATGGTATGGGGGTGCATTAGTGCACATGGCATTAATGACCTGCCGATATATACTATAATAATACAGGTTTACAGGTTTTGGAGAAACATATGCTGCCATCCAGACAATGTCTTTTTCAGGGAAAGCCTTGCTTATTTCAGCAAGACAAAGCCAAACCACATTCTGTACGTATCACAACAGCATGGCTCAGCAGAAAGAGAGTCTGGGTGCTAAACTGGCCTGCCTGCAGTCCAAACCTGTCACCCATTGAAAACATTTGGCGCATTTTAAAATGTAAAATACGACAAAGGAGACCCTGAACTGTTGAGCAGCTGAAATCCTCTATCAAACAAGAACGGAAAAAACATTTTACTTTCAAAACTACAGCAGTTCATCTCCTCAGTTCCCAACGCTTACACTCTCAGAAATAATGGTAGTTAACTGTCACTAGGGTGGTACCCTCAAGGGTACATCTCAGTACCTATAATCAGGGAACATAACTGTACCATAATCCATTGAAATAATATTTTCTAAGTTGTATTGACTCCACACACCCCGTCCCGCCTCCAGGCTTTTTATTTTATTGATCCGTTGTAAAACATTAAGTTATGAAAAGGTACAAATATGTACTTTTCATCTGGAAAAACCTATTTAAAGTGCACAGTTGGCCTTAAAACCATGGCTGTACCTTTGAGGGAAGATTTACATTGTTTGTACCTTGATGAATGAAAACCGCACCCGCACAGAACCTTTATTTCTAACAGTGTACAGAGTGCTGTTAAAAGAAGAGGTAATGAAACATGCCCCTGTCCCAACTTTTTTGAAACATGTTGCTGGAATCAAAATCAAAGTGGGCATTTACTCTTCAAAAAGAGTATGGTACTATTTTCAATTAAATATAGGGTTTAAATGACTTGCACATCATTGTATTTTGTTTTCATTTACATTTTACACAGTGTCCCCACTTTTTTGGAAACAGGGCTGTAGACTACACTGTACAGAGACATATTATAGTTGGCCATTAAAATCACCTAAAGCCTGAGAGTCTAGAGACATGGAAATTGATTGATATGACTAAATAAGAATAAAGCGGAGTAAAAAAATACTACTAAATACTAATATTGCTAACCAAGGCTTTACATTTTTATTGTAAGTACTAAAGTACAAACCACAAACTTACTTTTGATTCAGGCATCTTTATTTTTTGTTCTTTAATAACAGCTTTCCTTTAGGTTTAAGCATAGATGATTTTAACTGTTCTTTTGTTCTTTCCTTTTCTTCTTTTTTCGCCCTCCATGTCTCCATACCTTGGTCCACCTCTGCGTTTAGATACACTGCTCTCCTCTGTTGGGACAGACACAAACAGCATGTAGACTGAGCTCTAATATTCATTGTTGTACTTCATCACAAATGAATTCATTTAGCTTATATAGCTCAGTTACATGCATCGTACACATCAGATAAACTAAAGCAAATCACTACTCTGAAACATACCAGCTGTATTTCTAAGTACGTATTTATGGATTTTAATTTATTTACAGGCTAGAGGTTCCAAATCCCAGTCCTGGCAACACAACAGGAGGCACATTTTTGTCTTTTGTCTTAACACACACATCTAATTCAACTCTTTAACTAATTAACAAACACCTCTTGGCTGGTCAGGTGTACAGAGCAGGGAAAGCACACAAATGTGCAGAGTGTAGGGTTGTTAGATCTGGGATTGAGAACTCCTGTTCTAGGCTCTCGGTAATATGTGAATATTTGAATATTTTGGATTATTGTTCCTAAAACTCCTTTACACAAACGGACGAGAACACAAATTGACTGACATCCCTTAAAAGTATGTATCAACATTTCTGTAAAATAATTTATTATGCCTTACAAATCATATTTTTGAGTGGAAATTGTCTTTACTTCACCACAACTGTGACACTGTGAACATGTGCCACTCTACAGTAAAGAGTAAGGCAAAGAACAATTGCATAAGCATGAAAAATCAAGATCTCTCAATTACAAGACTAAAACTTACTGCAAACTCCTCCCTCTGCTTCTGCCTCCTGAGTTGTCCTTTTAATGGGGGTGCAGGCCTGCCATCTATATAAAAAATACAATCACAAAAATGAGCTAAATAGGTGCACCTTTGTGCTCTCACTTCATTAACTTCCTCTAATCATTCCCTTTTCATTGAGTTTAAAACACATTATATGGTCAAATGAATTTGGACACCTATCACACCTATACGAGCTTGTTGGACATCCAATTCTAAAACAATGGGCATTAATATGGAGTTGCCCTCAACTGCAGCTTTCCACCCGATTTTCGAGTGCGCATGTGGGAATTTGTGCCCATTCAGTCAAAAAACATTTGTGAGATCAGGCACCGATGTTGGACGAGAGGGCCTGGCTTGCAATCAACATCGTAAATCATTCCTGAGGCGTTTCATTCCACTGGAGTTCCTTCAAACCAAACTCATCAAACCATGTCTTTATAACTGGAACGGGTCTTCCCCAAACTGTCGTCACGAAGTTGGAGGCATATAACTGTCTAAAACATTATCCTTCACTGGAATTAAGGGGCCCATGCCTGCAAAACAGCCCCAGACTATTATTACCCCTCCCCCACCAAACTTCACTGTTGACACTATGCTCCTGGCATCCGCAAAACAAAGACTCGTCAGGTAGTGCCAGGTAGTGACGCATGATTCATCTCTCCAGATGAACACGGTTACACTGCTTAGCCACTAAAGCCAGTTTCATGTACTTCTTGTGCTGATATTTCTTTCAGAGGCAGCTTGTAATTCTGTAGTGATTGATGCAACAGAAGACATAGATTTTTATGTGCTTTATTACTCGTTTACACCACTCTGTGAGTTTGTGTGGTCTACTGCTTCATGGCTGAGCTGTTGTTGGTCCTAGCTGCTTCCATTGTGGGGCATCCTATGACACTGCCCTGTTTAAAGTCAGCTTTTCAGTACGACACACTGACAATGTTTGTCTATGGAGATTGCATGGCTATGTGTATGATTTTTTACACCTGTTCTCTACACATATATATGTATGTATATATGTTGCATCACTGATTTTACAATATTTCAAGTAACAGACAGAGTAACACCATTACTGTAGTCACTGTTACTGTAAATAAACAATATATTGCAACCTATAGCCCAATTCTGAGGTGTGCAAATGGGTGCAAAATCTGTCTCTCTTACCTGCAAATGACCAGTCAGGTAGATCTGTTAATGGACCGTATTCTGATCCAGTCCAGGCCAATCCATTCCTGTAGATGCAGGGTAAACACAGTTATTCACTGCGTAAAAAAAAATACTGAAGGCTACTGTACACTATTAAGTTTGGGAGGCAGAAAGGAAAGGAATGCCGTTTAGTTATTTGAAAAAGAAAAGAGTGAGAAATTATGTAGTCTGTATGTGTGTGTGTTAATTTTTTCAGCATAAACCCACGTTACAAAATCAGTTTATCTGAGTTAAATTTTATGGTTAGTCATTTCAGCTTTTAATCCAGTTTATTGACAGCAGAAATTCATTCTCAAAGATTGTTAGAGAACTGCAAATTCAATTCTAACATTTAATTTATTTTTTCACGAAAGAACTACCCATAGGATACATGGGACGCAATATAAACATACATATAATATTGTTATATGTATATATTTCAATATATTGTCATGTATCTGCATACACTGGCACATATATATATTCAAAAATGTACGTATGAGCAAATGTATGTACATGTTCCACATTATATATATATACATATATATATCCACATGTATATAAAATTGAATGTACACTAGTAAAATGATTGGTTACGTACTCCAGTCTCCACTTCTTCCCTGCGTAGGTGGCACACGTCGATGAAAAGGGCCGCACGGTCTGTCTTAACGCTTCAGCAAAACAGACATTTTATCATAAGAATAATAATATAATAAAAACTTCCTCAACAGAATTCTGCGCTACAGCTACACTAACTTACACAGTGTGAGCTCCAGCGTTAGAGCGCAAACACGGAGAAACTGTAAGAGCTTTAACACCCACAAACTGACTGATTCATGCTGAATCATGTTCACTTATAAAACTCATCAGATTATATTCCTGCACTGACTGACCCAAAGACACGAAAGAAGCACGTTTTTTAATAGCATCTCTCTCACCTGAAGAGCAGAGCATCTTCAAGGGCGCTGCCATTTTGAAACAACTACGGCAAGCTAATAGGACAAACAGCGGAATACAGCCACAACGCGCTTTTAGGTGTAGAAAACATTGGCGCAATTTAATGTTGTATCGCGAGATGGCGCTCCAACCACATTACTGTATAACAGTCTCGGCTCGCATTCATTTGTTGCAGCTAAATGTTTTTTTTTTCTGTTGATGTTCTTATAATTGAATTCTGAATACAACAATCAAACTAATAATTATTTGAATATATACATATAAAAAGAAATATAAATAAAATAAAAACAATAATTACGGTGCACACCATTCGCTCACATTACTATTATATTTAATTCTGTATTTTGTTATGCTCGATATTAAATACACTGGATTATGTAGTCCAATAGTCCATTTTCACTGAGCCTTGAGCTTGCTGATATGCAAAAAGCGTCTTAGCATGAAATCTGATGAGCTGAGAATTAAATGATGCATCCAGCTTTGGCTTTGAACTTTGCTGTTATTCTGTTCCCCTATGGACTAAAAATATATGTACATACATTTGCTCACATTAAAAATATACATGCAGTTTTAAAATATGTGCTAAATTTATTTAAATTTACCCCTTTAGAAAGTTTAAATTTATGCCATTAAGGGCACATATGGAAATATATTGAAATACATGTACATATGTAGACTAAATGTATGTGTTTTAATATTTATCTATTTATACATTCATTGTCCATTTTATCAGCTCCACTTACTATATAGGTGCACTTTGTGGTTCAGTTACAGACTGTAGTCCATCTGTTTCTCTGCATACTTTGTTTATCCTGTTCTTCAATGGTCAGGACCCCCACAGAGCAGGTATTATTTGGGTGGTGAATCATTCTCAGTACTGCAGTAACACTGATGTGGTGGTGGTGTGTTAGTGTGTGTTGTGCTGGTACGAGTGGATCAGACACAGCAGTGCTCTATTAGACACTCCTATCTTATTGGTCCAACTTGTAGATGCAAAGTCAAAAAGTAGCTCATCTGTTGCTGCACAGTTTGTGTTGGTCATCCTCTTGTCCTTCATCAGTGGTCACAGGACACTGTGCACAGAACGCTGCCCACAGGACGCTGTTGGCTGGATATTTTTGGTTGGTGGACTATTCTCAGTCCAGCAGTGACACTGAGGTGTTGAAAAACTCCAGCAGCACTGCTGTGTCTGATCCACTCAGACCAGCGCAACACACACTAACACACCGCCACATCAGTGTTACTGCAGTGCTGAGAATGATCCACCATCCAAATAGTACCTGCTCTGTGGAGGTCCTGACCACTGAAGAACAGGGTAAACAATGTATGCAGAAAAACAGATGGACTACAGTCTGTAATTGTAGAACTACAAAGTTCACCTGTATGGTAAGTGGACCTGATAAAGTGGACAATGAGTGTAGATATAAGCAGGTGCACTTATAATGAAGTATTGCTGCAGGTTTTATGACTTTTCTTCATAATGTAACGCTCCATGGAAAGTCTTTGCTTCTGTGTGTGTTTTTCAGTTTTCACTGTTGAAGAGCAGAAGCTTGGTCAGAGGCTCCTGAGCAGCCCGTGTAACCTTCCTCTCACATTCTTGCTGTGTATCTACCCGTGCAGTGCTGACTTAGCGCTGAAATATCCCTCCTCTGTGTGTGTGTGTGTGTGCTCTCCAACAAGTCCCCGCTCGCTGATAGCGCGCCTGTGGAGGGAGAGGCACACCGACACGCACGCGCTCCTGCTAACCGCAGGAGAAGAGACTGAAAGGGGCTTCGGGGTAGGAAAAACCGCCAGCTTTAAAACCGCACGGCTACTCCGCCTTCATATGTGTTCGGAGACCGAATTAAAACGCACGGCTACACGGCGGCAGCAGCAGGTTAAGTGCCGCCGGAGTCTCTGCCCCCGGTCTCTATGGAGCGCAGTCTGGCATTTTCAGAAAAAACACACACTCACATTGTTGCAGGCTCGAGAAAGCACACACGCGACCGCAGCACGCAGTGCCAGGGACCTTAGCGATATCCCTCCGCACATTCCACAGACGAGAGGCACGACCAACTAGTCCGTGCGATTGGAAAAAAACAATAAGAGCCTGAGAGTAGGAATGCTTGTAATGTCTCACATTTTAATGTTTTGCGCTATTCGTTGACTTTAACTTTCAAAGAGTTTGGGCTGATAGCGAGATATGAGCTTAGGGTTCCCACGTTTTGCAGGGACTTCTTCTTTTGGTAATGTGACTGCGTTTTCGTTGGCTTTTGTCTCTCGCCAACCAAAGCTCTATTTTTCACTTTTTCGCTACTCTTTCAAGGGCGTTTACTTAACGTGTTTAGCCGTTTTAAACCGCGCAATCCGAAAGGAAGTGGGCGAGTTTCTTTCCTTTCCATTTTGAAAACGTTAGCTGAAGAGCACAGAGCGCTGCGAAAACACAACAAGGCAACATCTCCACTGTGAGAAGTTTGGATGTGTGACGAAATTGTGGGATGCGATTCATCCGCGCTGCCCAGAAGAAAGACGTTCCGGTCAGGAAAAAAAGAGAGAGAGAGAAAGAAGAAGAAGGGGGAGGCAGAAAACTGCAGGAAAGAAAGAAACTCAAAGTTAATCGATGCCGTTTAATTTTCGGACTTCAAAAGACGCCTTTTTAAACGCGGTTCTTCCTCCGAGAGAGCCCGGGCGAGTATGAGACCTTTCTGCACTTTGTTTCGTTTAGTAACTTCTTTTCTCCTTCTTTGAAGGTTTCCACTATTTTTACACTCTTTTTTGGGGAGGGGGGGCATGATGTTCTTCGTTTTCTTTGAACGGGACTGGAAATAGTGAGGACGCTTTGAGGGAACGTGAGATCTTCACTCGCCCTCTCAAGGATTTTTCTCTTTTCTGTTTTTGGTTTGTTTTATTGCTTTACAGCGTGGATTTTACTATCTCTCACGGGAGAAGACGAAGCTCTTTTGTGGAAAGCAGAGAAAAGGATATTTTTTCTCTCTTCTCTCTCCCTTCCTCTTTTCTGGAGCCCGCTAGCTGAGCTGAGCTGAGCTGAAGAAAACCTGCCTGCCCCTCCAACCAACGACGTGAGAAGCTTAACTTCTTTGGACTCTACTTAAAAAGGCGTAGGTTGATTTTGAAGATATTGTATGTACCAGCAACAGTTCTCGGCGAAAACCCACTGAAACAAAGGACTAAGTGGACTGTTTTCAGCTGCCTCCGGTGTAAAGGCTGAAGGACCAACAGCGGTCTTCTCTAATGTGACCGCTACGTTCACCGCGTTTGAACGGGCCGTTCAGTTTAAGCCGCTTCTGCTTTATTGTTTTTCTTGCTTTTCTTTTAAGGACTGATGAGATTTACAGCCTCGGGACGCGGTCTTCTGTAGCTAACTGACCCTTTTTATTTGTCAGAGTGTACAAGTAGCCGCTGGAGGCTTCCTTGGTCTCCTAACAGATGGATGTACATGTTTCTCCTCACACATGCGTGCTCCTGAGATTCCCTGCGTGGAAACGTTCAGGCTCCATCCAGCGCCTGTTCAAGCATGACTAGTGCGAAATGTAGCCTGCAGAAAATGTCATAACGTGTTTTTTTTTATTTATCTCTGTTTTTATGTGATATTTATTTTTAGCTGAAGACGTCAGACAGGTCTGTTATTTTTTTAGACTTGTTTTTTTTATTTGTCTAATCACGTTTCTTACTGTCTTTGTCATTTCACCTGCTGTAGACCTACTTGAATTTGTATTTGACACTGTATTTATGATACTGTATTTAAGCTGTAGTCTTTCAGGTGTCATTTCATTACTTTAGTATTTGTAGGGGTGTCTGATAGGGGGTAGATATTCAGTGATGGAGCGCATCGGCACCAAGCTGAAGCAGAAGTTTAAGCTTCCCGACTCTGGCAGTGTCAAGTTTAGTAAGAAGAAAAATGAACTGGCCAACACGAATAACAACAGTAACAGCAGCAGTGCCGGTATTGCAGCACCGGTAGTGGCACACTTGAATCCGACGAATAGCCCAGCGCCTCCGAGTCTGGCTCAGTTCAGCTCTGCGGAGGCATGTGGATCGACCCTGAGTGGAAGACCCAGCAAGGTGGTCAACTCTCAGAGAGTGTCACCTTGTGTCGTCGCTGCTGCCACCTCAACTTCAGTGCCTGAGGAATTGGGCCCTGTACGGCGCCGGTCACCCCAACAACGGGCCTCATGTTACCTACCTGAGTCTGTGGAAGGCCGCGGTACCTGTGACCAGGTTAGGCGTGGAGAGTTGTCCCAGGGCGAGCATGGTGACTCGCAAGGTGCGTACAGCCCAAATTCTCGGGCGGCCCTGAACCAGCGCCGGTATTCACTGGAGCTTCAGCAGCTTGTTCGGAGACAGCAGCTCCTCTCCCAGCCTCCGCTATCCTCCATACCTCCACCGTACCCCACCCATGGCCAAGCGGCCCGCTCTGGTTCTGCAGAACCAAGCTTTCTCCCTGAGCCAGAGCGCCATAAGCGTCTCTCTCTGCAGGAGGCACTGTTCTACAAGCGCTGGAGCTCTGGAGGAGAGCCCTGGGACAGTGGCAGGCCAGCTTCACTCTCCCACCCTCCGCAGAGGGCCCATGACAGCCCAGGTGGTGGTTACCTCTTCCCACCGGGCCCTGCGCTGAGCCCCTGCTCATCCTTCAGCCTGCAGGAGTCTGTGTTAGCCAGTCCGCGCTCAAGCTTTGCTAGCAGCACGGCCAGTGGAGGCGGAGGAGGTGGCAGCGGGAGTCCGATGGGTAGCCCGTGTAGTAGTAACCGCACCAGTGGGATCAGCTTAGGCTACGACACCCGCCATACTACACCTGGCCCTGCTGCACAGCAGTTGCAGTTTTCCTCCACACAACTAGGTGGCACCACCTCCGGACAGGTGTATCCAGCCTCTGGGCTAGGGAAAGCAGGAGCTCCCCCAATGGAGGTGTGGAGGGACTACCTTGAGAGAGGCTTTCAAGATGGACGTCACTCATACCCACCAGCGGTCAGCGTCCCAACAGCGACCGGCCGCAGAGCAGAGCCAGAGTGGTGGAGCAGCACAGAGCAAAGAGGAGAAAGAGTGGGCGAGCGGATGCGACACTCAGACCTGCCGGGCACTCAGTACCAGCAGGAGCTGACCAGGCTGTTGCTGAGGGACATGGCACTGGAGGGAGAGGAACTGCTTGGAGGACTGACCCTAAAAGAGCAGCCCTTGTCCACTTCTACGCCTCCTTCAGCCCCTGCCGCACCAGCAGGGAAGTCCCAGCAAGAGGAGCACCCAACAGTGAGGGAGCCACCACAGTCAGCCCTGGATCGACAGGAGTTCTTTGGTGAGAAAAGTCAAATAAACGTTCCCCCTCCCCACCCACCCACTTCCGACACATCCAAGTCTAGTTATGACTAGTGGAGGTTTAAGGTGTGAGTGCGTGAAGCACTTGAGTCTATGAAAATCCCAGTCAGGCTTGCAGCGACTTGCATAGGCCTCCACAGTGACTGGGAGCCGAAAAAATTACTGCTGGTGTCAAGGCAAGTCTAAACCGCAGAACTGAGTCAGTCCCAACAAAGATCACAGTTTAGAGCAGAACGGCAAAGAGCAAACAGACATTATGGCTGTATCCCTCCACCCAGACCTCTAAACCAGCCTCCATACCTCACTCATATGCCCATGAGCAAATATACTGCTCCTCCGCCCAAGGCTACACACAGGCATTTCTGAATAGACTACACACAGGCAAAAAATATCTCCTCAGACCGCATATAATGACTATGCATGCCCATAAATTACAGGGTGCGTGTTCCACGGGTCATACCAGAGCGCTAGGGAGAAGTACAGTACGTTGGGCAAGGATGTCTGTGTGAGTGTGTGTGTTACATGCAGTAGCATGCACAGGCGTGTGTTCCTGCAGTTCAGGTATTTGAGTCCTGAGGGAAGACTCTCTCACATTATCAGCAGGGTGTGTGTCTGCGTGCAATACATTGCCATTGTTGTGACAAATAAAATCCCCTTTGTCTTTAAAGGCTCTGTACAAATTCTAAGACTGTTGTGATTACGTTTTAGATGAGATTGCACTGTTTGTTAGTACTTTACCAAACGGAAGGGCACTGGAGTGTGGATCAAGCCTAGTTTGTTGAGCTGTGTTTAAACGTTAAACAAACATGCTGGTCATTACTCAGCCTGAAGAATGCATGACTCACCTCCCACAGAAATGTATTAGAATCCAGGCTGGACTAGTGATGTGTTATGTGAGCGTGGCATTGTTTGACTGATGCTGCTCCAATTTAGATAAGTGGATGAGTGCAATTATGATAAAATACATTTCAAGCTTGGATTAGTTCTTTGTTGTCTTTGATAAGCATCAAAGTGTGTTTTGCGTGTTCAGTGAGTAACAGTTGTTTATGTTGTGTTTCAGGAACATGTGTGAAGTGCGGTAAAGGTGTATATGGTGCGGATAACGCCTGCCAGGCTCTGGACAGTCTGTATCACACGCGATGTTTCACCTGTGTGTCCTGCGGTGAGTCAACCAGAAGTCATCACAAATTATCCACAAATAATTTGCAAACAGTTCTCTTTGGACCAAGTACTTCATGTTTAAGATACAGTTTACCTACATAAAACTACTTAAGGGATACATTAAAAGCTGTAATCTTATATTTTTAATTTCCATCTATAAAGAGTCAAGTGCTGAACTTAAAATTTGGGTCTAAAACTCAATTTTGGATTTTTTTACTTTCCACTGGAACATTTTCTCTGGAACTTTTATGCAGCTCACTTACGGTAAAGAGAAATCTTAAATTCACTTAAGCTGTTTTATGGAAGTGACCACATCACCAGTCATGAATTTTCTTCTGGCTGATTCCAATTTTTTACACCCAAATTGGCAGAATTGGCAAATTTTATTTGCCAAATTTACATTTTCAGTCCCAAAATGAAGAGCTGAAACACTAGTGCATTTCCAGTGTATTGTTATTGTTAGCTTTTTAATGGGCCAAGCTGGAATTTTTTGTAAATAATACTTTAAATAATTTATTTTAAAAAATCAGCTGCCTATTTAAATAACATTAATCAAATGAAGTGCTAAGTATAAAATGAAGAGTCTACTGGCTGATTAGCACAATGAGTCGTGCATAGTTATGTGGTGTTACTTTGGCATAAATACAGTGTGAGTGCACTTACCTGCCTCACATAATTTACATTATAAACTTTCAGCAAACATCAAAATCAAAATACTACACTGGCAGATTGATGACTGCTTGTTTGGAGCAAAAATCTGTCGATTCTGGCCGTGCACCCCTAGTCACTACGCTCACCTTGCTAAGTTTTAAAAAGTGTATTGGTGCTCCAGTCCAAGTGGGGAAAATTATACTCATAGTTTCAGGTTATGAATCAGGTGTTGGCTGCAGTAGTCATGAAGGGCTTTAATATTAATTCAGTCAGAGCTGTGTCATTTTATTGGACTGTCTGTATTGAAGTGGAACAAGGAAGACACATCTTCAATGTGGAACATTACGTCATTTAAAAAATCTGAGTCATTATTTTGTTTTCTTCTTTTAGTGCTGTCCCTTTGCTTTCATAAGCTACATGGGGGAAAAAGTACCATTGTTGAGTAGAAACAGAACATTTAATCTTATCGCTGGTCTTGAACAGGCCTTCCTGTCTGTGATGATGATTGCTATTGCGCGCTCTCTCTCTCTCTCTCTCTCTCTCTCTCTCTCTCTCTCTCTCTCTCTCTCTCTCTCTCTCTCTCAGGTCGCACACTTAGAAACAAAGACTTCTACAATGTCAGTGGATCAGTGTACTGCAAGGAGGACTACATGGTAAGGGAGATCCGAGTTGAAAATCTCACTGATTTGCATTGAACTGGGCCATAAATTAATGTGCCAAAGTGGAAAAAGTAATTGTGGAATGATTTTGACTCACTCTTGCCTCCTTCTCGTTCTTTCTCTTACTTATTTTTTTCTTTGTTTCCTCCCTCAGTTTTCTGGCTTCCAGGCAGCTGCTGAGAAGTGCAGTGTTTGTGGTCATCTGATCCTGGAGCAGGTATACATACTGCTGTAATGTGCCATTAACAAACTATTCACACTTAAGTGACTGGTTGAAAGTTTAACATGATTTTGATATGAGACTCCTATGTAGTTTCAAATAATTAGTAGTACATTAGGAGGCTGTAAAAAAAATGTAAGAAATGAAGAAATGTGTTGATTGATAGAGTTGTAAAAGATTCTCAGATGACTGCAAAAGCTGTAGAATATTCAAAATTAAGTTGTACAAAATTTATCAAGTGGAAATATAATCTCAAGGCAAGTAACTTGACAAAAAATTAATGTAAATAGAAAACTGCAGTATATTATTTCTTATCTTTCGATAACTTCTTACTGACATAGTATTGAAAATATTAAATAAAGCCTCAGTAAATACCTTTTGGTATATCGTTTGTAATATTTTAATTGACAAAGCTTTTGAGAAGAGTGACAGGTGAAGTATAATAAACAACATTTTTATTTCTCTAATAACCGTGGTAAGAATCATAATATAGCATTGATGTTTCTTGTATGTGTAAAGCCAGCTCCCAACAACATGTTTCATAGAAAAAAAAAAGAAAATTCTTCCGTAATGTTTTGGAAACATTTCATATAAAACAAAAAACAAAAATTATTAATATAGCAAGTGATTCCAAACCTTTTTACAGTAGTATAGGCTTAGGGTCAGGCATTGTGTTTAAGAATAGGTGACTATAAATGATAATTAGCTTTAGCTCGTACGTAAGTGTAAGTCCACACATTGATGATAATAATAGTCCTTAATAATAACCTTTATTTATATTACACTTTTCATTTTGGTAACAAAATCTCACAGAGCTTTATCCCGGAAGATAAGCAAAACTTTTGAAAAATAATTACAAAGTATAGAAGGAAAAAGTTATATACTACATTACGCATGTGTTAGCCTTGAAAATAAAACAATTGTTTGCCTGTGTCAGATTCTGCAGGCCTTGGGGAACTCATATCATCCTGGCTGTTTCCGCTGTACTGTCTGCTCAAAGACTCTGGATGGTGTGCCTTTCACAGTGGACTACCTCAATAATGTCTACTGCGTCTCGGACTACAACAGGTCAGTGCAGGAAGGACATGACTAATTAGTTTCCTTATGGCTCTTGGTCATAAAACATTTAATAGGCTAATGACAACCCTACAAAAAAATAGCATGTTCACATCTCTTGAGTAAGATACAACAGTGTGATAATGACACAGCAGTGTGATGACGCTAATCAAGGTATGAGTAAAAAAAAAGCGGTGGCCCATCTAGACGCTGCCTTTCAAATCTAAAAAGCCACAATATTAATTATAGTCTATATTATTCAGGGTTGTTTTAAAGAGTCCATATCAGGGAAAATCTGGGGAAATTGTCCTTTTCTTTTCTTTTTTTAAATAAGAGTTGGCTGCGGTATGTAAACATAGTCAAAGATTCAAAATGTACCATTTACTCTTCAGTCCATGCAGTCCAACAATACAATCCAAACTATGCTGCAAAAACAGCCAGTTTTGAATTTGTTGTTTTCTAATGGTGTTTTCTAAACACCATTTAGTTCCACCCGTTCACAATGAAGTATTTTAGCCCAAACTGCTTTTTGAATGAGGCACAGTACAGGACAGCCAATCAGAACAGAGCTGATTTACATTTACATTTTTTGAAAGTGCAGCAACAGAAACAGCCTGTTTTTACACAAACTTACAAAATTACACAAACATTATGAATGGACTTAAGGATTAAATAAAAAATACACAAAAATATAGAATATTGGCCCTTTGACAAATTTTAAGTGGAGAATTTTTGTTCGTTAACAAGCAGCCTGGCAGACTACATTCAGTGTTTGAGCCACAAACCTGAAAAAATGGATGTGCAAGACTTCTTGAGGAGGAAAAAGACCTGGAGCTTTATTTTGAAACAAATAAGTGAATTTAAATTTTAATTGCAACATAAGTAAGAAAATCACAGAGAGATTTTCCCCACATTGTTTGGCCCCACCATAAAATGGAATTTTGAAAAAGACGCTTTGTCTTTCGATTTACGTTCTTTCTATTTGTGATGTGTGTTTTAGTTTTTGATGTTTATCTTCGTTGATGTTTATTTTTTTTCAGGACATTTGCTCCTAAATGTGCTGCCTGTTTACAACCCATTTTACCTGCTGAGGTGAGTAACCGCTCAAAACAGGCTGCTTTAGCAACAGAGCCTGTGGTTAGGTTTTAGACAGAGACTGGTTTCTTGCTTTTCCTTTAACCAGAGTTCATGCTGTGGAATAGGTCTCTATTACAGCAGTGGTTCCCAATCCCGGTTCTGTGCATATTGTTTTTTTCATCATTTAACATACTTTGGATTTAATAAAGTTAATTACCAATTATAAATGCCTTCATCCGCATCAGATTTGTGTGCACAGGGAACCAAAAAAATGCATGGAGTTAGTAGGACTGGGATTAAGAAGTGCTTTTATGCAGCAGTGGTTCCCATGTTATGTCTTTGGAAACCACCTCTCTACACAGTTCATGGGTTTCCCTAAACTAGCTTTGACTCCTCAGCTAGGTACCAAACATGACATGAAATGGTGCAGGGCAGTGGTCCTCAGCACTGGGGTTATGCTCCACTTGTTTTGACGTTGTTGTTACATGTGTTTCAGGGCAGTGAGGAGATTCTCAGGGTGGTGTCCATGAACAAAGACTATCACTTTGAGTGCTATCACTGTGAGGTAAGCAGTCTAGTAGGTTTTCATTACTGATCCCTTCCTGATTATATTAGTAGTGGAGTAATTATACAATTATACAACTAAAACACTAAACAATAAAATTAGTAATCATCTTTTAAAAAAAGCCCCACAGGAGTAATAGACATCAAATTTTAACACACTGAATAAAGATATTTAAAAAAAGACCTTGTCATAAGAGAAAACACTGTGGCAAAAAGAAAATTATCTAAGTGTGTATATCCATCAGGCTCTGTATCCTACTGTGAAACAGACATGGATGAGAATATAAACTATTAATCACTGATTCATTTGGAAAGTAAATTTTATTGTTTGTTTATTTATTTATTTATTTTATTATTTGTCCTAATGTTGTGTATGCTTCTGGAGATCCACTGCAGAGTTCAGTTCTAAGTAGAGAGCACTTTTTCATTTCTGATAGCCGTATTTAAACCTTGAGTACAGGCCTGTTTTTTTCTTTAAAAACTACTAAGCTTTAAAATGAGTTTTGTTATTGAAGCACTTCACTTAAGATAATCATGTGAAAGTGGGCCATAATGCTGAAACTACTTAAACACTCTACTACTCCACAAGAATAAATACACAAAAAATACACCACTAACCACATCACATTACATGATGTGAATTTGGCTGTTTCAAGATGTATTTGTTACAGGATCAGATTTTTTTTTCCATCTGATATTCGACCCAGCATTTTGTGCTGATATCGGTCTGGTACCGATACCTGTATACCTAACAATTTAGAGAAAATATCTATTATAATTTTCGGAACAATATTGTTACTGTGCTTTTAAATTGCGAATACATTTTATAAATTGAGTTCCAGGCCTATTTTTGGTGCCAGACTGCCAGTTAGTTGTTGTTGTTTAACATGTATACAGCATGTGAATGTTTGGTTGCTTCTGATTGGTCTAACACATCTTCAGGCAGTTCGTAAGCTCTATTATTAGGTTACATTAATTTAAACTAACTTTTAAACTATTAACTAACTGTTAACTAACTATTAAATGAAACTAGCTTTGAACTAAACTTTCAAGGAATAGAGCAGGTAACGTTTGCAACATTGCTTGTTATTCTATTTATGGATCATTTATACAGCCACAAACTGACTGATTCAAAAACGCTATGCCAGAGTTGTTTATATATATATATATATATATATATATATAAGCTCACCTTCAGCACATGTTTATGACTGTCACATAATGATGGTATTCGTGATGCTCCCCCTAATGTTCTTTTGCTTAAAATGACCACAGTTAATAACTGTGTTCTAGTGACTGTGGAGACATTGGAATGAGGATACTGCATCATAATAATCATAATAATAATAATAATAATGAAGCACCAAAATGATTGTTATTGACCAAAACAGAAAAGGTTCATATATATATATATATATATATATATATATATATATATATATATATATATATATATATATATACACACACACATATACATATATATTCTGCCGTTTTACATATGCTTCTGAATTAATGTAGTAACTATAATGATGCCTTAAACAACTTGTTAAATAATATTAAAATTTGCAAAATTCTGAAAATATAACATGTAATGGTTTCCAAAATACATCTACGCTGTATTGACAGAAACACCTTGTTTTTAATATGTAAAGTATGTGGATGTGGCTTATGAATATACAGTCCTGTATAGCACTACAAGGTTTCTTCAGCAGGGGCGCTTTCAGCACGCAAGTCGCCTTAGTGTTCATCATTTAGACAGAAAAAAATACCATAAACCTCAGCAGGATCTGACAAACGCACATATTTGCAGCAATAACATTAAAAACGAGTATTTTACTGAGTATTATTAATGTGGTTGCCTTGTATGTAATGTAAGTTAAAAAAACGTAGAGAACACGGCAGCAGAGGACCATGTTTACATTTTCACTGTTCATCTGCTGCAGCTAAAGCAGTTGGAAGGCGTCTGTGCTGACCAGCGCAGGAACACTAAGAAAAGTGTTTGTCACTATTTCTCATTTCTCAATGGATTACCATTCTAATTATTTGTTAGGTTTTAGATTTTGAAACTTCATTGTAGACCTATTTAATATTTTGCTTTCTTCAGCCATTTCTTTTTCTTTTTCCAAAACCCAGAAGTGCCACTTTGAACCATTTTGGGCTGATATTTTGGTGCCTCCCTACATAATATCTACTGTGATGGTGATGGTCATTTTCCCTGTTTTTTTTCTTGTGTAGGAGTGCGGGAAGCAGCTGTCTGATAAGCCTGGCTCTCAGTGCTTCCCTCTGGACTCCCACCTCCTTTGCCACTCCTGCCATATGAGCAGAGTGTGTGCCACCCACAGCCTCCCCCCACAGAACACACACTGAGCAGGGAGGGAGCGTTTCTGCTGGACCAACATACACAGCTTTTTACTGACATGCATATTTGCCACCAAGGTTATTCGTTGCTGTCTTGTAAAGCCTTTTCATTGTCTTTATCTTATGTTTTGATCTTTCTTTCTTTCCCACACCCTCACAGTCCTAAATCCTAAAAAAGGCTACGGATTCTGACACTGAAAACAGATTTTAAAGATTATTTTTTCTCAAACTTGAGGTCATACATTTCAAGTGCATAGCCTGCAGCTACAGGGATCTGCCTCCCCCTGGTGGTCAGAAAGTGCACCGACACAAGCCTGCTGACAAAACTTTGTGTAACTGTTCTCTGAATGGATGATCACTGTCAACATTACTAAGTTATTAGGGAGTATGAAACATCACGCTGAGCTACTGTTTATATTTTCATGTCTGCTGTAGAAAGAAAATACAAGGGATTTTTGCTTAACTTTAAAAAAAAATATTTAATATCACTAGCAAAGATTTTGCACTTAAATGAACATGTTTACCTTTTAAGAGATTTTTTTAAAGAAAGTGTTCCTGCAAAAGAGTAAAAAACATTCCTGTATCTTGTCTTTATTAATAAACTTCTTTCTGTCTGTATTTTGAAGTCTTAATTTTGAAAAGACATGTAAAGGACATTACATGTACTGGGCAGTGCAGAAAATTTCTCACCATACTGGTAAAATATTTCCATCAGTATTATGTAATAGCAGGTCTTAACTTTGATTAGCAGTAATGTCTAAATGGAAGTCTTGTGATTCCACTGTGAATACCTCATTTTCTTTTCCAATAATGAGATCACAACTTTGAGGATATGTATAACTGTAGCTCTTCACTTAAGTTGAGCATCTACAAGTGCTCAAACACCCTACTAGGCCACAGGAGAAAATACACAACAGCATCTCACAGTGTTGAGTGTTTTTCAAGTGTGCCCCTTTTGGTGCACTTTAAATTTTATCCACTTGATGGGCTTGGATTACAGGGATTTTTCAGAATTTCTGCACAAGTCAGTTGTTGAGATGTTAACAGTCATTAAGATTGGTTTGTGAAATTGTTAATTGTAGAGAAACTTACCAACTCAGATTTATTTACAGTGGTGGTGATAGGAACCAGGTGTCACAATGCTGATGACAAAGTCATTTTATTTTATTTCAGATAGGCCTCCTGCTCCTAGCACATCTATGCCACTGTATTACATCTAGCATTGCTTACTGGAACAATACACATGCACTCAACCGAACTTCTTTTCTTGCTTATTCACTTTTGTTGCATTACTTATTACGATTACGTTTTCAGAACACTCATATTTGGTCAACTTAATTGTCTGCAAAGATGAATGAGCATCTATTTGGTAAATCCAGCCCATGTGGCGAATTATTTATGTAAAAAAAAAAAATAATTCACAGCCTGTTTTCCTTTAGTCACTTTTTTATTCTTTATACATTCTGCATACTCAGAAGAAAAATAAACAATCAAAAAGCAAATAGGAATCTTTTTCTCTTTCAAACTAAAACAAAACCTTAAAACATTATTAAAACTTTGTATTGTTCCTCTCTTTTCTATAAAGGTTAGACTTCTCCCTTATCTGATTCACAGAGGACGACAATAAAGAAAGGACTCGAAACTTCAACAGGGGAGCAGAGGGAGCAGGGAGACGCAGGGATGGAGGCAATGAAGGAGGAGGGAGAGATGAGACATTAACCAAAGACTGGATTTCCTTCATAATAGCACCCTTCTATAGCTAGAATCTGGAGAGATAGGTAATAGTAATCCGTCATTCAGTGCTTTAGGATCGGACAGGTTTTGATTGAGGCTGGGGCCCAAATACTCCTCAGAATTAGTCAGTGGCCAAAATGTTTCATTCAGGCAAACCTTTGCATCAACAGAAATAAATTAATAAATTTAAAGTGTCAAAATAACTAAAAAGAATCATTATAGAAATACACTCCATCTCCCATAATCCTACACTGCGTTTACTGCCCACCAGCCACAGCTGGCTCTAACTAGATTTCATAAATAAAGATAAAGGTGTTTTTCACAAAAAAACAAAAAAACAAAAAAAAACTTCAAAAGTGGAAAAAAGTACGTACGAGAGTATTGGAGTCAACCCGGTCACAATCCAAGCCTAAGAGGAAATTTCCTCCAACATTGGGGGGCCTTGATACATAGATAAATATATTTTAGGCCGAAAGTGGGGGAAAAGAAAATGTGTGACTGATATTTAATTCTGAAAACACAAAAGATTTTTACAACAACAAATCTGGAACGTATTAAAAAAAAACAAAAAAAACAACGTTTTGATGGAAGCCCTGAAAATTATGATGTACAGCAGATACAACAGTATGTTTGTGATGCTACCAAAGTGTATGTATATATATAAAAAAAAATATTCAAGAGCGTAAACCCCTGAAACAATGAGTCGATTTTCAGCACTGAACTTTTGCTTCATACTTGGGCCTCAGCAGAGGTGGCATCCAAACATATAACACCGCGCACAACATGCGCTCGCATTTTTCCCCTCAAACACGCTCAGCGTCGTCTGTCTCTAGAAGGGTTGCTGCGGCTCCGTGAGCGTCTGCTGCCCCCTGAAGGCTTGGAGTCGCTCGCTCTCCCTCTATTGCTGTCTCTCCTCTTCTCTCCCTCCTTCTCTCTACCCCTCTCACGCTCCCTCTCTCTTTCTCGCTCCTTGTCCCTCTCTCCTTCTGCAGGCCGATTAGAGCTTCCGCTACCACTCACTGCATTCCCTCCCTCTCTCTCTCGGGCACGCACTCTCTCCTTCCGCTCTTCCTCGCGCTTCTTGTCCTCCTCTTCCTGCAGTTCTTTCCTCCTCTTCTCTCGCTCCTTCATCCGCTCTGCTCGCTCTAGACTTCTTTGAGCCGCCTGTGGAAACGAGGAACAGACAATAAGCTTAATCCTTGGAACCAGTTGTACAAGTGTATGTAAGTTTTTGAAGTGTTTATGCGTGTATGGGTCTCTGACCTGTTCTTCAGTGAGTGGCAACCAGTATATACATGGAGCAGCTTTGGTTTTATGGAACAGATCATCCAGTAGTTTGGCAGGAGGCTCCTCTGGTTTTTCTGTGGCAAACAAGAGGGTGTCAAACAAAAAATGAGGGGGAAAATCATTACTGCAGTGGACCAAAGTATTTCTCGTTTTAACTCCCACACCCATTCATTTTTTATACAAACTGGCAGGAACGGAGGTAAGCAGGCAAGGGGGGATAAGTAGCCATGAGAACTTCCTGATTCTGTGCAAATGAGAAGCAAATTTCACGATGCAGCAGCCAATCAGATTGAAATGTTAATGTGGAAACTTTTACAATATATTAGTAGTCTCTGTTTATCAAAAAATACACATGAAGAGAGACTATCATGTGACCAGTGAAGCAGGAGCTTGTGAAAGCAGATCTATTCTGCATCTTCTGGTGGAACTGCAGCTTGTCAGACTAAATTGCAATGACAATATTCCAAAGCTTTCACAAATGATGTTACTGCCATATTAAACATGCACAGTATCCTAAATTACTAAATACTGGCACATGTCTAGTCATGGACGAGACACAATAAAGCAGGAACCAGTGCTGAACATATACTAAATGGGGGATAATTACAGCAGTTGGACAAAAAAAAATTAACAGGCCTATTAACACAATTTCTCTTGAAAATGGAAGCGATTTGCTTTGGTGTAATGAAAATGCAGCTTGTCTTAATACTGTACATAAAATACTTCTCTCCTTACCTTTTTTCTCTGCCTTCCTCTCTTTGCTCTTTCCTCGCTCTTTACGTCTCCTGTCCCTGTCACGCGATCGTGATCTCTTGCCTGCATCTCTGTCGTCTCTGCCAAAGTCTCGCACTTTGTCCCTGTCCCATTCCCGCTCTGACCGCGTCCTCTCTCTGCGCTCCATCTCCCGCTCTCTCTCTGCCCACTGGTCCCTCACTGCCGTGGTGCCTACGTCCCTCTCTCTTTCCCTCTCTCTCTCCCGCTCTCGTGCTGGAGGCATGAGGGGCGGAGGAGCAGCAGCAGCGGGACGGGTTCCGGGACCTGCGACTCGCGGGTCATCTCCAGTCAGGAGACCCTTATGGAAGTCCACCTAGAGATTATCAAAAAAGACAGACAGAAAAAGGGTGGGAAGGAGGACAGGTGAAGAAGACAAGAGAAGATTACAGATGGCCATTAAAAACTGAGGGAGTGTGAGAGGTTACTGAATGCATCCTGCAACAAAGTTTACAACATATTTTGCAGCAAAGCTGAACATCAGGTTGATTATTTTTAAAACAGAAAGCAGAAGTTAAGTAAAGCAAACACTTGGCCAAAAATACATTTTTCATTTTCTCAGACATCATAAGAAGCGTCAGAATCCACATCAGCAAGTCTATTTGACATGACTAAACTGCATGATGTAGTTAAGCAAAGTGTGATGATGAAACCAAACATGTCTTACTTCATCCACTACACTTTGGAGTAAGGGAAAAAACTATATTTGATTTCTGACTGAACCAGTGTTTTAAGCAGAGCTTAAAATGAAAATATGAAATACCTCGTCCTGTTCACAGAAGTCCACTCGAAGCACTTTGGGATTGCTAGATGGCCATTTCACACCATGAAGCGCCCTCACAAGTTGCTACTGCCTCCTCTTTACTGGAGTACTGCACAAGAAAGATCAAATACAAGACCACACTCACTTAGAAACATTAAATGAGATCAGCAACATCAAGTTTCCATAAACATCCTGTAAGTAACCACAAGACTCAGATGAATGAGAAACAGATGTAGTACAAAAAGATGGAAAAAAGACTCACCGTAACATAGCAGTGTGACTTAATCTTATCTATCCAGAAGCCTTCTTCAACCACCGTACCAGTCCTATTGAGGAGCTCTTTGAGCTGGCCCAAGGTGAAGGGGCGTACCTACACATACACAGGAAAATGTATGGGTCGGGGACAGAAGAGGGGGGAGGGAACAGAACTGTTAAAGACACTGACTAATTAGCACAGCAACAATGCTTCAATTTCATAAGTCTTATTTCATTACTCTGATATGCAACACCCAAACTGTGCGCATTTCTAGTGGTAAAGACTTCTGGAATTTCACTTGGCTTGAGTTTTATAGTCCTTCAACCATGAGTCATAAAGCACAATCAGAGCGCTCCCTCACCAGGTTGCAAATGTGGATGATGTTGGAGACTTTGCCCCGGGGAGGGGAGAGCTGCCGGCCTGTGCGTACAGGGTCATCGATAGCAACAGATACTTTCTGTTGACTGATAGAGCGCCGCACCAAGGAATCATTAGGAGTCACTAAGAAAGAGAAACAAAGACAAAAAAGAAAAAGGAAATAAACCATTTACCACAAAGACCAACTGTCAGCATTTCAACAATGACTGTTCCCACCTTTATGGATTGAAAGAGACAGAGAAGGATAATGTGTCTGATCTGACTGGCAGGGGCTTCTACTGATTCAATTTTTAAAAATATGATTTGGTAACACCAACACCACGAATAGTCACCTTTCTTGGCATCTCCCCCTTGTGTTTCCATGGTAACCTCTGACAAGCTCTCCCTCTGATTCCTGTGGGGTTTCTCTTTCTCTCCTTCTGCCTGCTC